GATGCGAAATATTTACTCTCTGTGTGATTTATCCAGTTCTCACAAAGATAGTTTAACCTGCAAGGAATAACGAATATTAGAGTAATATCTATCAAACGAATTTGAAACGACTAACGAATTGCCTTGGCTGCTCGCACGAGTGATGAGATTCAATGTTACGCTGTAATCATAATTATTTATAAGAGTTTTAAAGAGACCATACTCTAACGAAATAAAGAGAATGAAAATATCCATTAGTATAAATCGTTTAACGGTAGGCGCTCGCTAGCTGAGACTATTTTAACAGAGAATTAATACTCCGCCGTTGCTGTATTGATATAACCGCTGGGCGCTCTATATGTGTTTTTAAAAATGGAGAAACAATATATATATAAATTATGTATATGGACATTCAATCTCAGAGATACTATCAATCACTCATATTGACGTAATTTATGTTAGGAATTAATTACGAGGGGCTACTCACCTCTGAAGATCAGCTCAATACGTGAAGATTCATGAATGTCTCCATCTTGTTTATTTACTCATAATTTTTTAAATGATATTTAATTCCGTCGAATCATCATCTTCAAATAATTTTTTTTTTCATTAAAAAAATGCATTTAGATTGCTCTAGTCTAGATTAAGGGTTGAATAATATAAATTTATGGAATACCTTTGTTCAGAAGTGAGTAACGTCTCGAAAAAAATGTCACATCCCTCCTGATCCAATTAACGTTACCTCTGGCGCGTTCCGGGCGATTGTGAGAACATCTAAAAATTGAATAGATCAGTGAGTGTACTGGGACCTGAAAGATAATGGGGTGAAGATTTTTAAACCGAAAATTTGATACGAAGAATCTTGAGCAGAAGATAGATAGATAGCTAGCAAAATAGATCGACTGATCGATTAAGATAATGAAAAATACAAAAGTGTGAATGCTGATGTGTGTGTGAGAGGCCTGGGAAGTGAAACCGAAATAATAATTGCCTAAGTAGTGATAAAATAATCATTGCGATACAAAATCACGAGAAAACCTGAAAAAAAAATAATAATAATAATAAAATTTGTTTTACCATTTTATTGATTTAAGATGCGTTGAGATGTTATGATGGAGCGACAGGTGTTGTCCAAAGTAACGGAGAAAAAAAAATGAAATAATAGAAACATATTAGATAAGAGAATTCAATGAACCAATAAAAATGGTTGTCGTTCTGATGAAAACCGATTATTTCAGATTAAATGGAGAGATAATACATCACACTCGTTTGGACACTGTAAAAGCCGTTTTTACAGTGTTTGAACAGACAAATTAAAGTTTTTGATCAAATCTAGAGATTAATTAGAGAAAAGAATGGCAGGAGAGAGTGGAGAGATGGCGAGAGTGAGAAAAATGTCGATTCCACTCTCCTCTACCTCTGAATCCTGAATAACGAGTGCACACATTGTGACTGTCCCCTCGTCTTACAATTAAAGAACAATTTTAATTAGAATAAAGAAATATTCTGCTCATATGTAACATCAAAAATGTGTACTGTTAGAGACAACTGCTGAGATTTCACGATTACACTTACCCCACCAGCTCCACCTCCACGAATATTTACTTTTCAGCTTTGGAATTTGGTACTGACGAAACTATTTAGTACCCACTGTAATGTTCACATTGAATCACTCGTCAAATACAATAATAAAATACATGTATTTTCGCAAGAAAAAAAAATAAATAAAAATGATGAAATTTTATGAAAAAAGTAAGCGAATCACTGTTTCTGTCTAATAGTTATTTTATCCTGAAGACAATGAAATGGCTCTCAGATTATTCTTCTGCCTCGAGGGAGTGGTTGAATGACGAGACGGTGGTCTCGCATAAACTGGAGACTGTTGCAAACTTACAATTCGTGAATATGGTGGAAATGCGAAATGTAATGAATAATGCTGTAACCACTGTCACTCAAGGTGAAACTTTTAGAAATGAGTAGAAATGAAGTGAAGGAAAAAATGTCTGTCACTCAGAATGAATCTTCGTGCGTGAGAAAAGCGACTGGGCTGGGAAGGGGATCACGCAATCTGTCCATCAAATTTAATTCCCTCTACTTTCGGTAAAGTTTTTGAGGTATAGATCTATATCAGGTGTCACTTACAATTCTCCAAGAATTTCTCGAACTCAGGTATCGATGACCTGGCATGATCCATTTGACAATGATTGATCAATGATTATGCGAGTCAGTCTACGCAGCCCCTTATCGATCACTTTGATATCGTTTTTATTTCAGTCCCGGGGTTGTGGTCATCGTCAATTCTTCCTGGAAGAAAATTCATGGCATTAGCAATAATTTTAACAGTTTTTCTTGGCGGAGAGAAAAATTCAGGAAAATGTACGTGAAGAGTCAGTGGTCATGGTCGAACAATGATTTCAGTCATTTTTATGTAGAATCATCCTGATATGGAGAGGAGGAGAGAGATCGATCTCGAAATATCTCGAAATATCTCGAATGAACGAGACGAGATCGACCCGCCCCCACGACGTCGTGGCTAAATCTCAAACATTTCAAATCAATGCGCGTACGGGGCATGCGCGGACGGGCTAGTGGTAAAAAATAAGAGATGGTCAGTAAATTTTATTATTGGCTCTATTTTCCTACCTCTGTAGTACTTTTTTCCGACTTCGCCCATATTTACGTTTTAACCAGTAATTTTTCCGGAACTTCTCACGTAATTTTTCCCGTATTTTTCTCTCCGTGTCCACGTGATCCTAATTTATTGTCACAGTCATTTCTAAATGAATTTCGTAAATGAGGAATCAATAGAAGAGATCAATTTTTAAGAGATCAGTACCGGTCAATCAGTACTGTGACTTTCTACCGATTCAACGAACCCCCAAGCATGAGGCATGAAATATTCTAGGTGATGGACGTGATGATTACCAAAAATCATGACTCCAATAATTTCTTTTTTTTAAATCCTATTGATCATTCAGCTCGCCACCGACTACAGCTCCTTTTGTTTCTTCTGTTTCCACATTTACCTCGGTGGAATAGACATGACTTCAGTCGCTCAGCTCACAGTCCTGCAGAAGAACCTGAAGACCATCTACAATCCCATCGAGCCTTCAACAGAGAATACCATCTTTCAAGAAATCCATGAAAAGGCACTAGGAGTTGATAGCCTGTCCCAACGACGTCAAGGCACTCCACAAGAACGTAATCATCGATTTCGTGCTTTTCTTCAGGATCTTAATTTGCCTGGAGTTATCCGAGACAATGACTTTCGGAAATCGTCCGCCTGTAATTTAAAAAAAAATTACATCAGTGAGTTTTCAGTTGACTGACTCAGCTCCTGAATTCTTTTATATCATTGCGTTTATCTTTCTAGATCTCCACCCCATCATTTTCGTTTTTGACCCTCACGAAGACAAGCATTCACATCATCAGAAACGATTAATGAGTAAAGACTGTCTCCTCTGATTGTCAATTACATCACTCTTACCTGTGATTGCTGTAGATGTACCTTTGGTCTTCACATTTAATTTAAAAAATAGGAGAATGATGGACGTTATCAATCAAATAATGATAAATGAACGAAAGTTGAGGTTCTTGATTTATTCACGATCACAAACAATCCTTTCCCATGCGTCTCCATCACTCATGTCATACCAGATCGATTCCTCGATACCTATCCTACAAAGAACTTATAGATTATCAGATACTGATCCTCGAAGATGGATATTGGACGTGATTTGCACG